CCAGGACCCCGGAGGTCGTTCAGCACAGTTCTTTGGAACAGGCGTCCAAGGACTTCAGTCAGATTAGTGAACCAACTCCGAGAGCACGACCTATCAATCGCCAGATCAGTCTTCCTTTGACTGCCTCATACTATTACGATCCGATGGACCCGAACACGCATAATCTGGAGTACGCTTCCAGAGTGAGTGGGTTTGACTTTGTGTCCAATGGCCGCAATGGCAACACCGACACATCTGCATATCCGGACACAACAGCAGCTTCGGATGCAAGTGTGCAGTCGACAAGATCAAGCATTGCGAGAGCACCATCTCCAGCGGTAGCAATCCCTTCTGTCCCAGCGGAGCTTGATATCCGCCCACCACCCCGGCGACTGGGCAAGCTCATCGCAACCCCCGACTCTTTCGCACCCAACCTTACTCTCAACATCGATCAAAGCAAGACTTCTTGGGGCCGTTTGAGCAACAATACGATTGTGTACGAACACAAATCAGATACTCGCGTTCCTAAAACAGCTTTCATCGTGTTTTTCTACTCGTCAGGTGGCCAGACCCAAGAGACAGTGGATGACCTGTCACAACAGGGCAAAGACTGGACCAGCTTGGAGAATTTGAACGTGGGTATCTGGACTTGCGCCACACATGGTATCTCCATAAACGGCAAACACTTGAAGCAAAAGGACGACAAGGGGCGTGTTATCTACGGACATCTACACACTGGTGACATCATACAGGTGTACCACGATGTCCGCGGAATCGAGTGCCTCAAATTCCGCTGCGAGTTCTATCTTGGAGCTGGCAAAGAGCCACGACCAGCAGGCGACAGCTTCAGCACAATGATTGGCAGCCGGCTGTCACAGTAAACATGTCTCCGTCGAAGCAGAATCCATACGTCAGCGTCTATACAACATAGCAGCAACTTCTCATTTCCTGGCCATTTTCATTCTATTCGGGTTAGCGGGCGTTGTTGGCTTCTGTACTACTACGACTATTCCTACACATTCTCTTTGTAATGGCATCATCTCGGTGTTGTGGCTCCAAGATCGAGCAAAATCGTCTTTTTTTCGGAGTGAAAGCATACTGTTTGGGTGGTACATGGTCGATACAAAGCGTATTATTTCGCATCTGGCAGGGAAATTGTGGACTGGACTGAGTGTGAGAGCATAGATAAACTGTGTATAGTGAAATGCCTAGAAAGGCAAGAACATCAACTAAAGAACAATACGAGTGAAGCAACTGTCATCATGGCATACTTAAGTTCCGTCTTGCACTGCACTTCTCGGTGAATGTGTAGTGAGGGCTTATCATGCTTTAAAAACTCGTCAAAGCTTACGCTACGCATCCTGTTGGTGATTCGACTCAGCTTACCGTGACTTCACTGCATGCGGGGAAAGACCGCCAGCATGATCATGAACATGGGCCAAGAGCTGTCATTTCATGAGAAGCATATCGTATTTGGATAGCTCATTTCCGCTAAACAAACTGGTTATCACCTTTCACTCTCTGGCGAGCCCTTATCCTCCTCACTCTAGCAATGCCACCCACCATGCCAATCAAAGCCGCAGCAACACTTGCTATTGCCCATGGCCGGTCAACAAACCACAACACTACAGCGACATCCGAGCCATGCCATGAACCACCGGGTTTATGGCCGAAGAAGGTGTATTCTTCCGAGTAGAAGATTCGCGGTAGAACGAGGAAGGAGGTGGGGTCTGTGCAGGACAGATTAGCTATTGAAACTTTTCTCCTTTGCAAGACAAGAGTGGCTGACTTACCAAGGTCATACCGTGCCTTCCACTGTTTACATTGGCCATCAGGACATGCCTCGAACCATTCCTGCAAGATTGTGCTCGTGAATTGCGGTCCAGTTGTCCAGAAGATTGTGAGGTACGGGAAAAGCAGGTTCCAGTTGTGTGTGACAAGGCCTTCTGTCATCTTCTTCACGACTGGATGCTTCGCCGCTGATGCCATCAAGTCGTTGTTGACGCCCAGTGGCGATGCTTCTGGGAACCAGGCTGGGAAGTCCAACAAGGGGCCTAGTGAGCGTCGGCACGCGACGTCTAGGTCCATGTAGACGCCACCGAAGTGGTAGAGGGCGAAGTACTTCAAGGCGTCAACCTTTTGGATCTGAGCAAGGGTGGGCGAAGTCAGCATATGTTTCAGTCGCAGCTTATACAAGGAGAGTACTGACAGGATATCTGTAACCATCGTATGTCGGTAGAAACCAGGCGTATTCGTTGGACAGGAACTCCCGAGCGCTCGTTGCATTCCACATGCGGATTTCGTAACTGGGGTTGTGCTCTTGACAGAGTTTTGGCGACCCGAATCCAATAGAAGGGCCTCCACCAGAGCCTTCATGGTTTGGGTATATCCTCTCAAACCATATGTAGTGTATCGTGCGCGGGATCTTCAATCCTGTGTAGGTAGAGACATAGTCGGACTCCAGAGGTTGCTCGTTGCGCGCTACGGAATCGTTCAGAGCCTTAGCGTAAGACTCAGGGAAGTCATCGAAGGTGATCTTGCGGCGCTCGATGTAGGCTTGGAAGGCATGTTGGCGCCTAAAGATACTGATGATCTTTAACAACGCGGCGGCAATGGCGATTCGAATGAGGATTTGACGGAGGAACATCTTGTTCATACTGACGAGATGCTAGCTTCAACGAGCAGGAACAAAGTCCTTATGCATGAGAGATAGGTCGACCTTCCACCCTCTGCTTCGAGTAAGCGCCCCTGTGTCAAAGTTACTCTGAGCACCGAGTAGTCCTAGAGACACCGCCTCAACGCTAGTCTCGCACACACTATAGCATCGAATCATTTTGACCGTTGCGCCCTACAGGTGACAGGGCGTAAGATGAAGTGTTGATCTTAGAGATACGAGTTTCAGGAGAAGAGCCGTGGGTAGCATGCCAGAAGTTGCACATCCTGGACCCGTACTGCGGTGGAGTGATGGGCCGAGGGCCACATGAATTTGTTGTCAGTGCCCAATAATACACCGAGCATGAACAGAGAGAGGCGGAACGTGCTACCACGGCCGTACCTAGAGCGCAAACTCCTCATGCTGATTTTCATCTCCGATCTCATTGGGAACGTGAACTTTTGTGACCACTAACTCGCTCGTGACATGACTACAGTGCTACGGCTTACGTGCATATATCTTGACTTCCTTTAGCACTTCCTATCAGAGATGGGGAAGCATAGGTTGATTCGCTTTGCGGTACTTGCCAGCGTCGGACCGAGCGACTGATGTGGCCAAGCTTTACAAGCTCCGGGTATGGTTCTCATGTTCACTTCAAGCATTTTGAGTACGGAAGCGGTGTTTTGAAACGTAGAGCGGAGCTCGACCACAGTGGCTGTGTGGCCTAGCTGCCTGCATAGTCCAGCCTAGCGGGCTAGCGTCCTTCGAGCGGAGAGGTTCCTACCGTTGTGACAGCACGGATAGGCCACTTGTGTTGAGATCCCGCCAATTGAGGCTCGACCATCGTTCAATGACTGTCCAGATGCACCTCAGGTTGGCTTCCAACTGAATGCAGCGGCTTGTCGTTATCCGATATTAGCAGAACTGACAACGGAAAAGTTCTTTTTCGCACTCCACCGCTATTTCCGCGATCGATTTGCTAGATGCCACAGTATACATCAACCTTGATGTTCTTCAAGTGGCTATCCAGTGAAGCGAGACGGTACTTCTAAATGCAGAAATTGCGCAACACCTTCGAGTATGTGGAGACTGGGCAAAAGCATCGCTGTGTTTGTGTATCTCAATACATCCTCATGCAACTTGCGATTGCGATTTTCAGTTGGACATTCTAGGAAACTGACGACACGTTGGAAAGCACATCGCTGTACGAAGAAGTCTCATTCCTTCAGAACGGTAGGGTCAGGTCCTAGTCCAGGTTCGGTGTTATCCTAGTGTTTATGCGCGTTGACGGTTGTCCATGCAATGGTTGCAAGCTCTTTGGGGAAGCGAAAGAGTACGACTTGCTGCGCCACAGCGGTTTCAAGGTGAGAATAGCGGAAAACTTAGTCAGATGGAAATTACTGCTAGTTGTGTGTCGCACGTGCCAGTTTCAAGCGTAATATATATCCAATAGCGGAGGTGGCCGATGTCATCTATTCGTTCCTGACGAGAATGGAAACCTGCATATCCGCTTAGGGGATCAGCGCACTCGTGGCCATGCACTCATTCTAACGGGGCTTCTTCTTCAGGAAATCGATTCGGCTCGCTTTCTACGCTTGACGATAATGGTATGACTCGCACGCGACGTGAGAAGCTGTGTGCAGAGCGGATGCGTCAACCGGCGAGTTCTGACGCGGCCCCGTATTCGCCAGTTTCGAAAGACCTGAGGTTACTAATCAAACAAGCTCAACTGATGCGTGGAGTAAGGAACAACAAGATCTCGCTGATGTCAAGGTCTTGTACGATACAGGGGTTCCGCGTTGTACGTTACAGGGAGTTTCCGTCGCGGATCATTCCTTCATCAGATGTGCCAGGAAAGACGTGGCTGCACATTCCGGGAAAAGGTTTCCCTTCGCTAGATCAATGGCCGGCACAGTTTAGCTGGTTCAGCAACTTCAGCTGAGGGGACCGGAATTCAACTCTAAGTGTTGGCGATCGGATCGTCGCGAGACGAGCGGGAAGCACGAAGAGATGGGCCCAGGGAGTTGGTGCAACATCGGAGGCCTGATGCGTGGCGTTCTGCACGGGGCCAAGGCAGACCCTGTAGTGGATTCCAAGACCGGAATGGCTTAGGTAATCCTGCAAGTGGTCTGTGGATGCCGATGTCCCCCAACGCGACGCTCGGCACTGTTACGGCAAACTCCGTGGTTGTCCGCACGCTTCACAACCTAAGCATCGGAACTGGCTACTTTCACTCGGACGGCAATGCGCGGGGAATGCTGGCGCACTAAGTGCACATGTAGTTTCAGCCTTGTTGTTAGCTATGCTCTAGGTGCTGGCCACCCACGTGTAGCAGCGGCATGGTTCGCGTTTTCCTCCTTCCCCAGTCCTAATACACGTAAATGAAGTCTTCGTTTTTCATGTCCGTCAGGTCAGAAAAGCCGTTATCTTGCTCCTGTCTCTGATCTTGTGCCTCTATCTCCACGCCCTTTTGTGTCATGTCTTTCTTCTTCAGCATACTTTCGTCAACCCTGACTGCGCTCTTGCCCAATTCCTCCCTGCGCTTTGCGTGCCTCTTGTTCAACAGTGCTAGGTAGATGGGGATCAAGAGCGCGATGATAGCTACGAGTGCGAACATGACCAGGTTGGAGATAAGACCTGGCCGGTAAAGAGGCGCGTCGTCTACCGAGTACAGTAGCGGACCGATGACATTACCTGTTGTACGCAGTTAGCATTGTCTCCCATCAGACCATGAGCGCATATATCTTACCGGTGCACATTCCAATGAACACCATAGCAGAGGTGCACTTCTTCTTCGTGTCACCGGCGGTGTTTTGAACATGCCAAGTGTATATCAAAGGTGTAATAGCGGCGAGGCATGATACAAGGTAGTAACCAAAGAGTAAAACGCCTTTATGCTGGCGCGGCACGGTCAACATCATGATCGTGCCAATCATGGGAAGGATGGCGACGAGGGCGATGGCAAGACCCTTGCGACTCCAGCGCGTTGCACCCCAGGAAGAACCCAGGATGCAGACAATCTGAATGACACCGAAGGGTATGTTGAAAAGGATGGATTGGAAGTTGGTGTAGCCGAAGTCGCGGATGATGAGGTTGCCAAAGGTGGAAATACCACCACTCGCTATGCTGTGCAAAGGACATCAGTAAAGAAGTTGAGATGTACAGGGTCACTACTCACGATATTGCGATGATGGCAATGAACCAGCACCAGGTCTTGAGGTCAACCAACGTCTCCCAAACCTGATCCCACTTCCATTCTCCTGACTGAATGCCCATTTGGTTAGCCCGCAGACGCTCGACTGCGATGAACCTTTCTCGCTCGGTCAAGTATTTGGCTTTCATCGGGCTATCCGGCATTAGGACGAGAACGACCAATGCATACACCACAGTCAGAAGACCGCAGAACATGAAGATGACCTGGTACTTGTACAACGATTCGCTGTTGATGTGTCCCAAGCCGTAGGTGAATAGTGATCCAACAATGAACGTGACACCATTCATAGCGTTCCAGTATCCAGTCCGAAGGGTTTGCTCGGACCGGCGCCACCACATCGTTGTAGTTGCGACACAAGCCGGTGCGATCATGGCCTACCAGAATGAAGATACGAAGTCAGACTATGATCCACACGCATTCTGTACAGTCGCAACTTACCTCGAAGGATCCCAATACAAACCGCAGACCGAGGAGGCTTTTGAAGTCTGTACAGGCCGCCATGATAGCCAACTGCTACCCCAGAGGAAGATGGCTGTTCCGATAACTTTTCCCGTGGGCAACTTGACCAGGAGGAAGGCTGCGAGGGGCTGCATGACTAGTTGGGCCAAGTATAGAATAGAGCCAAGCCATGAGTATTGACGTCCTACTAGTTTGGCGTCTGCTTGTAGACCGAAGATGGAGACGTAAGACAAAGAGGATTTGTCGAGCTGCTGGAAGAAGTAGGCTCCTCTGGTTGTGGACACAAAGTCAGTGCATATTCCATTCGCTGTTGGTACAAAAACGCTTACAGCAGAAGAGGAAGGACGCGATAGTCTACGCGCTTGAGAACAGCGCGCTCTTCTTCGTATGAGAACGATGCATCATCGACATGAGCGTTGGCCAGGAACTCGGCCGCCGCGTCTGCCTTCTCGACTTTCTGCGCTGGCGTAGGAGAAGAGTGCTCGATATGTGTGATGGCATCTTCTTTATGGGCTTCAAAATTCATTGTGGCCATGTTGCCGCAGAACAAAGACCGTAAGACGTCTGGTTGCTCTTCGATTGACTTACGAAACGATAGGCTCGTCTACTTATCAGCCAAAAGCCCATGCTCGGATATCAGATACCGACTGATTGCGTCTCCGAATCTTGGTCGTATCCAGCTAAGAATCGAGGGACGCCTGGATGGCCATGTGCATCTCAAGCTTCCTGCTTGTGCTGGAAGCCCCTCACAGCTTGGTTGTTCCACGTATCAGGACTTGACGTTCCTTCTTCACTCGCAAAGGTGCCATATTTCCATGAGCTTTAGTCAAGGAGGGAGCTTCCCCGCAGAGCTCACGCGGTAAACTCTATTCCTGGCCATGATCGTCTCTGCTTCACTTTCCCCACGGGGATGGATGCTGTGGGGCCTCTCTTCTAAACATTGGTTCACTGGTCGGCTATAATGACGGGAGAATGCAAGATCGACGGCGTGGCATGATGTGGTTCAGCGTTCGGGGTTGACTGTACCGAATATCGAGGGGCCTGACCGGGGTAGCGATGCCCCGATGCATCATAATGGAATATTTCCAAAGCTGTTAAGAAATGGCTGCAGAGCGAAGCTTTTTACGTCTTACTCCTGATTTGACTCCGACTCTTGTGTATTACTTGTTAGCAGATATGGCAGGGGAAAACAAGCAAAAGAGATATGCGCTGATTGGCACGGGCGGCCGTTCGTCCTTCTTCTACACCGCGATAGCAACAACGTACAAAGAGACCTCTGTTGTCGTAGCGCTATGCGATACAAACCAAACACGACTTGACTTTGCGAACACACAGCTGGAGTCTCTTGGCCATCCTAAGGTTCCCACCTTCAAAGCGGCGGATTTCGATCGGATGATCCGGGAAACCAAGCCAGATGAAGTCATCGTAACGACAATCGATCGTACACACAACATCTATATCGTCCGCGCGTTAGAGCTGGGCTGCAATGTCGTAACGGAGAAACCTATGACCATCGATGCACCACGGTGTCGTGAGATCTTTAACGCAGTAGAACGAACGGGCAAGAAAGTGCGCGTCACCTTCAACTACCGCTACGCACCGCACAACACCAAAGTGTGGGAGCTTCTCCGCTCTGGCGCGATCGGGAAAGTGACAAGCATACATTTCGAATGGATGCTTAACACATCGCACGGCGCAGACTACTTCCGTAGATGGCACCGCGACAAGCGCAACAGCGGGGGTCTGCTCGTCCATAAATCAACACACCATTTCGACCTCGTCAACTTCTGGCTAGCTTCACGCCCGGAAACCGTATACGCACAGGGCAATCTCAACTTCTACGGGCGAGAAAATGCCGAAAAGAGAGGCATGCAGGAATTTTACACACGAGCCCACGGCAGCGAAGTGGCAAAGAGCGATCCATTCGCACTACACATGGAAAACAACGACAAGTTGAAGAGCATGTACCTTGATGCCGAGCATGAAGACGCGTACTATCGCGATCAAAGTGTCTTCGGCGATGGTATAAGTATAGAAGACACAATGAACCTCCTAGTGCGATATGAGAATGGCGCGGTGCTGACTTATTCTCTGACTGCCTACGCACCCTGGGAAGGTTTCCGTGTCTCGTTCAACGGGACCGGCGGCCGTGTAGAGATGGAAGTCGTCGAAAACAGCTACGTGAACAGCGGGGGAGACCAGTCGCTCGAAGGATCACTCGAAACGCGATCAATCACACTCAGGAAGCTTTTCGAGAAGCCGCAAGATATCGAGATCCCAGATTCCGTCGGTGCGCATGGGGGAGGCGATGAGGTGTTGCTAGCTGACTTGTTTGGCGAACAAGGTGCGGAAATCGACCAGGATATGAGAGCTGCGAGCCATATCGATGGCGCGCTCTCGATTTTGACGGGCATCTGCGGTAACAAGTCGATGGCTACGGGGCAAGTTGTGAAAGTCAGTGATGTATTCGTAGTGTAGATGGAAGCTTCATGCCATAGCCTCATGGCATGCGCAGGTATGCAGGACTAGCCGAGGTGTAATAAAGAGCTCTCAAAAGATTCATGCCAGCCCGCAGCAATATGCAGCGATAACCAGCACCTCCGTCGCTCAACTGTTGGACGTAGTGAGTGGGAAAGCAAAGTAACTTTGCAGGAGTAAGCGTCATTCTGTGGCCCCGGGGGGCGAACGCGGCTGCCCGCGTCGCAATCGCGCTAACTTCGACGCGCCTCCCCACCACCTGCACCTGGTTCACGTTCAGGCTGCCTTCACGATCATCGTGCTCCATGCACGCGTAACCATCCAGTTCCCAGATCGTAGAGAATCCCTGGAAATGTCACGATCAACACTATTCGGATCGCACCTCCATGTCAACGTTCAGAGGCATTGTAGCCGGTAAATGTCGCCCCGCCGTGCCTGGCGCGCTGTGCCCTAACTAACGCGTCACTGCAGAGTTTCCTCAGATCAGGATAGACTACTTCCGACAACAACCTGAGCATAAGGCGCCTCTTGCGTGTTTCCTGAGTCACGTGCATTCCGATCATTTGACTGGTCTGGAGTCGTTGCGGGCCCCATTCGTGTATTGTTCAGCTGCGACAAAAGAGGTAAGCGGCAAACCTGTGTAGAATGATTGTCATGCAAAAGCTGACATGCCTTGAAGATACTCTTGCGACTAGAAAAGTACCACTATCGCGTCAACTTCGCTAAAAGCATTCTTGAAAGTCGCAATGTCACGTACGATAGAAGCATGCGCAAGCTGGCTAAGGCGCTTCCTCTGGACACGCCAACCGTAATTGAGTTAGCGCCGGGCAACAGCATCAGGGTCACTCTTATCGATGCTAACCACTGCGTTGGAGCTGTCATGTTCCTGATTGAGGGTAATGGCAAAGCAGTACTTTATACTGGCGACATTCGAGCAGAGGAATGGTGGGTGAACTCGTTGATACAGAACCCAGTACTTCTGCCATACACGCTTGGAACCCGGAGATTAGACTGCATGTATCTGGACACGACCTTTGCCACGAAGAAAAAGCCCTATCGCCAGTTTCCGAGCAAAGCGCAAGGTATACAAGAGCTGCTCAGCAAAGTGAGTGACTACTCCGACGACACTATATTCTACTTCCATTCTTGCACCTTTGGCTATGAGAACGTCTGGATAGCGTTATCTGCATTTTTGGGCTCTCGAATTCATCTCGACGACTATCGAGCACGCATATATGGCTCCTTGTCCGCATTGGATAAGCGACAACTGCGAGAAGCGGGGCTCGACGTCTCAGCAAGCAATAAAGCACTCCAAGAGTCTGGACTTGAGATCCGTGAGGCTCCTGCTTTATGCGGTTTCAAAAATGGAAATCACATACAACCGGGCTGTTTGACCTCTCATGAGGACGTTCGCATTCATAGCTGCGAGCGCGGCATGGGCTGTTCCGTCCTAGACCGCGATACGAACGCCAAGATTGTACACATCATCCCGATCGTCGCGCGCGCCAACGGTGAAGACATTGCTGAGTTGGGTGCGGGAGGTGGAAAGGGTGACTTGGATCAAAAAGAAGAGCTGGAGTCTGGCGGTATGAGCGACGTCAAGAAGTTGATGGAGCTCTGTGCTGCATCCATAAATGATGAAGAGTTGCTTGGAAAGGTCATCAACTTACTCCAGCAAACTCTATTGGGAGACGGCAAGCTCGACCTTGGTAAGCAGCTACAAAAGCAGTTCGAAGACGCCCAACACGATTTGTCTGTAAAGACCCTCGTCTCTGTGCTATCATCGAATGTTTTGGAAGATTCGAAAAGCGAACCGCCACTCAACAAGACCATTAAGTTTCCGTACAGTCGCCATTCTTCCTACTCCGAGCTTTGTTGCCTTGTGAGAGCTTTCAGCCCTAGGGACATATTTCCGTGCACTGTTGACGAGACCCATTGGACACCTGAACTCAGCATGCGGAATCTGTTTGGCAATCTCTGCTCAGGTGAACTTTTCTCTCACGACGCGGTCATGATGGAGCTGTACAGAGCCAGAGTGGACTATGAAGGCCGGCAGAAACGAGGCAGGAAAGAGAGCCCGACGAACACGCAAATGACTGGCGATGGGACTGCGAGCCCGCCTGTGACCAAATTGGTCATCGAGGAAGCCGTTGCATTACCTCCATATCAAACTGCTCCGAAAACCCCGACGGCAATAGACACCATCCAGCCATCAACGCTTCCATCCACGTCAGAGACTTCTCTGCAAAACAGTCGTCAAGATCAAGTGGCTGTCCAGAGTCCAGATCATACAGTAATCGATTCATCTTCAGCTCCCAAGCGAAAGACCGGGGTCTCCAATACTCCCTCTAGGATGGAGCCGCCAGTACCCAGTCCCCACAAGAAGCAACGAATAACGCATCGACAACTCGCGTATGACGCAGCAATTGGAAAAAATGGCCTGTCCTGGAGCGATTTCGGAGGCTTGGTATCAACTAAAAGCAAGAGGACCCAGGATGAGCAGGAGCTATGAGTGACACTCTGGCTTCGTGGGGGCTGTATACATGAACGAGTTTCGCGAGAACGTGCGACGCGTCGATGTTAGTCTGTTGCAATTTATTTGACCAGGAACAATGCGGGAATAGCGTTCATATGCGGTGGTATTGGACTGTGCTCCTTTGTACCAACGCCATACACATTCGTCAGCGTATTGCCTCCTGTGCAAGTATAACTAGCCACAACTCTACGCTTCTTGGGATTCCCTTCGTCTAACTCCTCTTCGTCAATTGCGTCTTGTTACACATCCTCATCTCATCAGGCTGAGTCCTCTCATCCCAGTAGCGTACCCTGTGCCTGAATGTCCATGTCGCGCCCCAGCCCGGCCTCTCTCATGAAGTCTGTCGCCTGCACCGTATCGACCCACCAATACTCGCCAAATACCTTTAACGGAAAGTCTTCAACCTTCGCACCTCGTCCGACATGCGACGCAACCGCCGCCTTGAGATCACATTCATAACTCCGCATCAAGGTCTGCCTCTCCAATTCCCAATCTCCGAAGTCGTGTAAAGTAGACAACCGAGCCCTGTTTTTCCAATGGTGCTGTATGGCCTCAAACCGACCGAGGTCAACCGGTAGCCCAGTAAATTCCGTGAACTTGCGTTCCATAGCGGAAGCGAGAATCTGCCATGCGCGTCCATGGCCGTCTGAGCAGAGGCTTCCTGCACGACTACGGCTGCCGCGGCAAGAGTATTGTTGGAAGAATGAATGACAGATTTCGTGTAACAAGGTGCCAAGCATGTCGAAGCTGTCTAGAGTTGGCTGTATCGTGATATTGTAGTAAAAGTCGGGCCACGCTGCGCCCATCGCGTCTGAATATTGAATGTGAGACTCAGTGAGCCAACTGAATTTGGATTTGCGGTAGAACATGTCAGAGCCGAAGAAGAGGACGTTGATCTGCGTCCACAAGTCTCGGATTGAGGAAATGGGAAAGACTTCGTCGAGACTGGTAGGTGACGCAGCTGGTGTGTTTGGAAAGAACAGCGACATGTAGTGTTGTATCCAGGTTTGAATATTTTTCAAGGCGGTGAGTTGTGTGGTATTGAGTGTGTCGATGGGTCGGTCGAAGTATCGTACTGCCGTTCTCGTCAATGTCATCGCTTCGCTCCGGAAAGGCGAAGCCATTGTTAAGGGCTCGTAGCATTGATATCCAAATTCGTTTGCGGCACCCTTGAACTTGAGTTTTGGGTGATGGTGAAGACGTAGGATGCAATTGCAGTAGGATTCATAAAGCCGTGGATCACACTAATCACACCGACACACTGGTTTGGACTCGTCCGTGTCGACGAGTTTGCGAAGTTCTTCGAGAGTAGTTGGGCATGGTAATCTCTGCTTTTGCTTGCGTCGAAAGACGTTTCTGAGGCTGGATCGGATATGGAACTCGATGCCTAAAGATGATTGTACGAAGTCAGTATTTGTCTCACATACAGTTCATACATGGATATTACCAATGTGAATTTCTGGCATCTTGATGATATTACCAAGCGACCTGCGGTGGAAGTTGATGTGGTGAGTGAGCCCAGGAAGATTTTAGAACACCTGCAGCTCCGTTTTGTTAGGGAGTGATTTGATGTGAGAAACTTCGTTAACTCTACTGGCGACTCTGCAGAGCAAAACGGTCGGTGATTCACTCATATAAGATGTGCTTTTTCCCTCTGATTTGCATCGTGATGTGGGTGATTTATGTAAAGATGAGCCGTGGCATTGCAATGGGTTATCAAAGACGAGCCATTCACAATCCCCATAACTCATCTCATACCTGTAAGAAATCGTGGTTAGGTGTGGAGACGACCACTTCGAACGAACCCTGGCGAACCAGCGGTTCCGACTTACCAGCACCCGAACGTGTACACCCAAAGTTGCTTGCGAAGCCCAAGCAATGGTTCGTCCAATAGAATCATGTCGAATGAAAAGCATTCCGAACTTATGAAAGGCGAGTACGTTCCAGAGTTTTAGGTCGGGATATCATTATGCAGTTAAGTGATACGGGATGCGTATGCCGAAGAACCCTCGTTGTTTTATTTGGCTCGGGCTCGTCATTGCTTATCGACTTCCTGAACACTACTTCCTAACAATTCATCAGTGTCCTACGCCACCTGCTACCCAGTTCATGAATTCGGGATCGCCTGGATTTGGGAACATTCCCCTATCCTGGGGCGGTTGTCCTTGCGCTTGCTGTTGTTGAACAGGCACACCTTGATTCAGCTGCTGTTGCTGTTCTTGTTGCCGTCTTCTTTCCTCCTCCTGTCTTCTTTGCCTTTGTGTCCTGTAGTAAAGCAGGAAGGCCAAAGCCCCGCTCAAGGCCAAGATGATGAGTGATTCCAGAATGTCCGAATCAATCTCGTCGCCATGATAGCCGTCGCCGTAAAAGTCGTCGCCGGCGGTATGCGTGTCGTCGTAATCATCAGCTTCGTAGTCGTCCCAGCCAGCGAGTTCGGCTTCGAGAAAGGCGTTCAGCCACTCCGAGAGCGTCCATTGTTTCTTGACGACTATAGCCATATTAGCATCCAGACGTCAAAAAGATGCAAAGGATGATGACTTACCGGGATCTTCTTGAATGGATTTGATGTTGCCGTTTGTAAAAGTGTTCCACCAACTCCGGAACCTAAGCTTGTACAGTGCCAAAACGACAGGTAAATAGGCCTCACGTGGATTCGTCTCCAGAGCCAGATCATAGTGTCTCTTTGCGAGGTGGAAGTCTTGATCAATACCGATGCCATTCTCATGCATCCAACCCAGGTTCCACATGGCTTGTGCGCTTCTCATGGTCTCAGCTGCGGCTTGGTAACAAGCTGCAGCTTTTTCAGAATCAGGTTGTGTTCCGAGACCCATCAGGTAATAATCTCCCATCTTGACCATAGCATCAACGTTCTTCTGTTCGGCAGAGCGCGTCCAGTATACCAAAGCCAGGAATGCGTCGCTAGCTAGCGAGGCCTTTTGCTTCATAAAGGGCACAAGCGAGTTGAATGTAAAACGAGGCTTGACTTGATCAAGGAGGTAAGCCACGTTGGCCTGTGCGACCTCGAAGCCCTGTTCAGCTGCCATCATGTAACTTACGAGTGCGGTCTCTAGGTCACCATTCGCATACGCCTCATTAGCTTCGGGGAAAGACGTAGAGACGAGTTCGGCTTTCTCTGCTACGATCTTGTAATACGTGGCCGCCAAAGGACAGGACTTAGATCGAGCGATACCGTTGTGCGTCATCTCAGCTAAGTAGTAGAAGGCCTCGAGATGTCCGTGCCTAGCGGCAAGTTCAAAGTATTTGGCGGCGACGGCGATGTCCCCCTGATCCAGGAAGAGCGCACCTAGCCGAACTTGTGCGACTGCCAAATCCTGGTCGGCAGCCGCGCCGAATAGCTCAGCAGCCTTCACGGCATCTTGAGGTACACCGAGACCTTTCAGGTACATGATACCCATGGAGTATTGCGACAGCGCATCGCCCAAGTCCAAGCCACGTCGGAACCATAATTTCGCAATCTCGAAGCTTTGTGGCATGCCCTCACCGCGCAGGAACATGCGACCAAGGTAGCCAGCAGCCTTCGCGGCCAGCTTCTCGACAGTAGGCGACACGTTCGCATTGGGCTTTCCGTTCTGCGGCCAGTACATGCGCGCAAGCTCCATGAAGCGCTTCTTGGCCGCTGGGAGGTCGCGCTTCAAAGTTCGTGCGCCATCGTAGTTCAGCTTGGCAAGATTGAACGTGGCCCTAGCATCGCCCTTTCGAGCCTGGAGATCCATGTATTCGAAAACGTCGTCGAGGGAGGAGAAGGCGTCGGACTGAGCGCTGGCGACTTTGGCATTGGGTCCGGAGCTGCTTGTACTCGCGCCTTCGCCATACACGCCACCTTGATCGTCAGCGATGTTGTAGGACTCCCGCGGCATAGAGTGGCCGCCAGGTGGCCCAGACCGCATGTATGCAATAGCCTTCTCCGCGGCCGCTTTGTAGAAGTGCACAGCCTCCTCGCAGTTGCGCGGAGTAGAGATGCCTGCCGAATGCCTGTACGCCACAGCCATCTCTGAACGCACGTCTCCGCCTTCTGCGCCTAGAGTATAGTATAGCATAGCCTTTGCCTGATCCTGCTTGACTGCTCCACCAATGCCAGTCGCGTACATGAAGCCAACCATGTGCTGTGCCGATGCATTGCCGTTCAAAATCGCGAGCTCGTGGTATCGTCGAAAGGCTTCGGAGTAGTTGCGCGGGTGCGTGTAATTGCCGTAGAAGTTCATCTCGGCGAGGGTAAATATTGCGTCGGGATTCTTTTGGACCGCTGCCTCTTCCAGCAGGGTAACGGCTTGTGACAGAGAATGCCCCAGCTGCTTCGGTTGTGGGTTTGTCGTCAACAGCTCCTGCTGTGGGGGGCCATTCATGAAGAGGAGGAAGAAGACCTCTTTCGCGTAGTACGCGCTGGTACCCAGGATGCCAGACTTCTTATCAAAGTTCCACCATGGTGCGGCAGCCGGTTTGATCGTGTGTAGGAGCGTCGTGGCCTCATTGAAGGCCAGTACGCCCTGGTGTGGATTCGCGCCTCCTTCTGTGTTCCCCCATCTTGACTTCCAGGCCTCCCTGCTTTGGTCCGAAGAAACGCATAAGAATAGTGAGAGAAGAACTGCGGGTCTACAAGTCAGTCAGAAGCTTCCTACGTTGCCTGTGCAGATGCGTACCGAAGAGAAGCGGCACACGCCGCGGTAGCTGTGGCCTCATTGTGGGTATATGTCGAAATTCAAAGTGATGCGAAGAAAAAAACTCATGGCGTCATCTCGGGAGGGCGGAAGCAGAGGCGCGACTACGGGTAGGCAGTCGTGGTGAGGTTGTTTGTAGAGGCCAGCTTTCCACTATCACAGCCGGGGTGGCAGTTGCGCCCCCGATGCGTGGCTACCGCAGCCAATGAGCGTTGACGTCACTCATGTCACAGGTTCACGCGCTGCAACTTCGCCTTGAGCTTTCCGCTTCGACTCGTAAACGACAACCGAGTATCTACTTGCAACTGATATTCAGCGCGCTTGCTTCATGCCGTCGTCGCTTGTTCCGCTATCTTTGCGGACGAAAGCCCTCGGGCAAGGGCAACCGACCTCTTTCTGCATTTGTCATCGTCGGAAGCACTAACATCCTTGCACGTATCGTCATGATTTCCAGACGCGTTTCTACGCGAAGTCTCTCTCTTTCATTATCGCTGGATAGCATTCCTCTTATCTTTTGATATTGTACTGGAAGTCGTATGTCATGACAGTTTTGAATACCTCGGCAGAACGCGAGCCCCTGCTCCAGCCTTCGATATCGCCGCCCTTATCGAATAGGGAGGCCAAAGATGATGAACAAGTCATTTCAACGTCGAGAGGCGCACTGATAGTTGGCTCTGTCGGTCTCTTGATTTTTTTGCAAGGTATGTCTTCAAAGATCTCCGCGCTTCGCCATCATAGAATCCCGTCTTCGATCATGTATAATTCCATCTATGCATGGTAATGGTGGCAAATTAATCGAAGTCATACTCTGTCCAAAGTCCACAAACTATGCGAAATAAACTTGACCTAACATTCACGACAGCTACGAACATCTCTATCCTTACAACGACCCAATCATCTATCGCTGCAGATCTAGATGCCTTCGAAACTGCCAGCTGGTTTACTTCATCGTATCTCATCGCCATGTCTTCTCTCGCTCCTTTGATGGGACGATTATGTCAAGTGTTTAGTCCGCGGTTATGCATGTTCTTCTCCACCATGTTGATAGCCATTGGATCGGCCATCACGTCCACATCTGTGTCTTTCGAACACTTTATCATCGGCCGCGTTGTAACTGGAGCTGGTGGCGGTGGCATTTTCATCGTCGCTAGCATCATGGCAATCCAGATGACCAGCCCTAAGAGAAGAGGCTTATATATGGGCCTTGCCAATACTGCAATGACAGTCGGTGTCTCACTTGGAGCGGTCATAGCGGGCGCGCTGGAACCTAGAATTGGATGGGTAAGTCGCCATTTTAATTGACGACACTTAACGAGCTCGACTAACACAGTCACAGAAACCATTGTTTGGCATACAGGCACCAATAAGCTTTGTGGCCGGATTGGGTCTCCTCTTTTCAATCCCAGCTAGCCATACTTCAAAGAACATCAAGTATGAAAATCTCTCGATCCGCGAAAAGCTAGCCCGCATCGACTACTCCGGAGCTCTGCTCTTGACCACCACCATTGTACTCTTCCTTCTTGGCTTATCTGGTCCAAAGGTTCTCCCAACGCCGATCATTCTATCGGCTCTTGCCCTTCCAGTATTCGTTCTCAACGAGGCCTACGTCGCTGGCGATCCCGTCATTCCAGTCTCCGTTCTACGATCCCGTGGAACTCTGTTGACCTGCCTTGGCACGACTGGCTTCATGATGGCCCGTTGGAGTATCCTCTTCTACACGCCCGTATATGCGCTTGCCGTTCGGGGTTGGGCTCCGGCTGTCGCTGGATCAATCCTCATTCCCACTAACGCCGGCTTTGCAACCGGTGGTCTTCTTGCTGGCGTCTTTCATATCAAGCGCACGGGCAGCTTCTACCTTCATACCGTCGTTGCGATGGCACTGTTTCCCATCACTATGGCTGTCCTAGCTCTCATTTCTACACCAACAAGTCCGTGGGGTCTATATGTTGCTATGGTGTTCCTCAACGGACTTGTTACTGGCGCGGCAACGAACTACGCACTTGTCCATCTGCTCCATCTCACACTCCCAGAGGTGCACCCAATCGTCATCTCTCTCCTTGCTACATTTCGCGGCTTTTCAGGCTCTTTCGGTTCGGCCATTGGTGGTGGCTACTTCGTTCGCGTACTGCACAAATCTTTGGATGAAGGTTTTGCGCAGGCTGGGTTGAAGAATCGCGGTGAACTCACCCGGAGACTATTAGGAAGTCCGGCACTTGTAGGTAAGCTGGAAGGCAAAGACAGGGTCGTCGCCGTCGGGGCATACGCGGATGCACTCAAGGCATTGTTCCTTTGTGCCGTAGGACTCTCCATCATCGTCGTGCTTGTACAGGCCGGTACAGGTTGGAAAGAGCCGGAAAAGAGTGAGGATCAAAGAGCGGAAGAGGAGGTGGAAGCCGAAGACGGGATGCCTGCAGGTGCTTGAGCTAGATGTTCAGTGCAGCTATCTTTTGTCTTTTTCTGTTGTGCATAGCCATGTCAGCACTCATCATTCTATGGTGCAAGGACTTCCTTTAAGCGCTGATAGTCTCCTTTCCATACTCACCTACCCATCATTTTCTACGTCTACTGGACTTCACGATGATGATCTCTCACCGTGAGATTTCCTGGCGCCCTGTCATTTCTTGCGCAGGTACCCGTCATGCATGCTAGCGTCATCATCGCGATCCCCTCACTGTTTCCATCGTCTTCCATTGTATCACTCGGCTCCCACCCGGTCTCGCTTCGTCTGTTTGTTGTCGTTGGTGCAGGGTCCACTGCCTCGCGCCTGCCTATATAAAATTTCGCACGCTCTCACCTCCGCTCCTGCGACCCCACCTCACCAGCGACGACGTGCGAGACCAATTGTACGATCAAGAGACAGCGACCTCATTGTCGACCGCCTGCGACGCATACTCTGCTCATACAAGGTCAGTTTCTCTCACCTCTGGCGTATTCACACGTCGGTCTCCAGGCCCAGTCAGCCTGCTCCGCAAATTCGCAAGTGCGCACACTCAGTTTTGAACGTGTCGCGCGCAAACCACGAGCTTCAAGCTGAGTTCAGCCTGGGGTTTCTAGGCGCTTGACCGACGCCCGTCGCGCTACACTGCACTGCTGCTGTCCCTGGTGTGCAACCAGCTAACGAACTGCGCCTAGTTCACCTCGCTTACACCCTCCACAGTCTTCATCATGGCTCGTGGTTCGACTAACTTGTACTCGAACATGGTATCCAACCCGTACCCCAAGGCCAAGGAGCATGTTGCTCGTATCTCCGTTTGCGAGCTCTGCGACCGCGAGATCCTCACCAAGGACTGGAACGGACACAAGAACTCCAAGAAGCACCGTGAGGCTGAAGCAAAAGAGCGCGAAGAGTTAGAGAAGACCAAGAACCCAGCTGGTACTTTCGGCGGCGACGCTACAAGCTTCGGTGGTGGCAACGAGTTCAGCGGTACCAACGAGTTTGCTGACGCCAACAACGAGTTCGGCTCTGGTGGTGACACCTTCGGCGGCGCTACGACTACCGCCAATGACGGCTGGGGCTCTGCTGGCGGTTTCTCTACTGCAAACACTACCAGCTACAACAACGGCGGCGGCGGTGGCGGCGATCGGGCCTGCTTTGGCTGTGGTCAGACTGGTCATCAAAAGCGTGACTGCCCCTCTGGTGGAGGTGGAGGTGGCGGTGGCGGCGACCGTGCCTGCTTCGGCTGTGGTATGACGGGTCACCAGAAGCGCGATTGTCCTCAGGGCTCCGGTGGTCAAGCCTGCTTCAACTGCGGCGAGACTGGGTAAGTCGAACTCTTGCAGAGCATCCTGGAGTATCACGCTAACATTTGTCAGACATCGCAAGACGGAGTGCACTCAGCCTCGTAAGCCCATGGCTGGTGGTCCTGGTCGCGCATGCCACAACTGCGGAGATGAGGGTCATATGTCGCGCGAGTGCGACAAGCCTCGTGTCATGAAGTGCCGTAACTGCGACGAGGAGGGTCATGCCTCTCGCGAGTGCGACAAGCCTCGTGACTGGTCCCGCGTAAAGTGCCGTAACTGCAACAATTTCGGTCATGGCGAGAAGCGTTGCCCCGAGCCTCCTGCTGAGACTGCTGGCGGTGACTGGGGCGATGCCGGTGGCTCGACCGCTGCGGCTGGCGGATGGGGTGACACTCCGGTTGAGTCGAGCGGCAACTGGGCTGACGACACCACCGCAGCTGCCGATGCCAATACTTCTTCTGGCTGGTAGACTGACTGAGAGTCGTTCCATTCGCTTGTTGGTACGATGATATCTCAGCATTGCCCAACATACGCGATTCTTGCAAGGATGGGTGACAGACTTGGACGACGATCGAGCCAGTGGCTATCAGTGAGGAAGGCTACGAGTCTCATTTGAGCTCAGGGACGATGGAGAATTTTGTTAGGGTAGTGGAGAGGCAGTCAACGGGTATGCAGTTACACTATAAGCGAAACGCAACCATGTACAGCAAGGTACTCTACAAATACCAAACAAACACTAATCCGTATACGTATGTTCAACTGCGCTCCATGCTAACACATAATGATATGCTATGTGACACTTGCTGCTTGTGGCTCTGCTGTATCTGCGTTAAATTCTCGTCTACTGACTATACTACCTTGCTCAGTACATCGTGTGCCAGCCATAGAGACGACTTTCAGCCATAGATAATCATCAACCATTTGTCTTTGTCAAATAAGTAACAAGGGCGGCGGCCACGGTCAGAGAATACATAGCGATTGCCACGGATTTCTGTCAGACTTCTCATTCGTGGGACATCATTTAAATGAATATAGATATTGCGCAGGTAAATTCCCAGCGCAGTGAAGGGTACGGCCGATAGGTGAGGCTGGGCTTGTCGTTCCTTATTAGTACCCTTGGCAAGATTACATGTCTCTGCCCAGGGCCATTAAAAGGGCTTGGGGGGTTGATTTCATTTACAGAAGATACTTGAGGGGTACATGGTAGACCCTTCACTCACCTCTGACGGCTTCCAGATATCCCGGTCTTCTTCGTCCGAGCACGCCCAAAAAGAAGGCCGAAACCCTATTGCAGTTCGCAAACACTTGATTAGTTAGACTATTGGGAGGCAAAACGAGTGAAGCAACCTAGGAGAATATACACTACACAATGTCTGTTCTGCATCGTGACATAGCCAAGGTGGAGTCGGAACGACAGCCATAACATGTGAAGAAACTTAGCGGAAACCAACGATGACGAAGGCTACCACTACGGGATGACATGGCTGCTGGACAGCTCGAGGGTTCAGAGATAAGGGCGCGTCCCGAAGGTTTCCAAGGTTCCAAGGCTCTCTCTGTATCAGCCCTGGATGATAAGCCCGGGGCGTACGGCATCCGGTCCTTTTCCCAATCCGAGATCCAAGCCTCTTGGGATCTCCGGACCTCGTCGCCGTAAGCTTACGCGCATAGCCTCGTTCAGATGCCACCATGGTATTTGGAAATCAGAGCCTTCACGGTGGTCGTTTTGGAGGCGCAAACATGTGGCTGAAGCGACTTCTGCATCTCATGAAGCAGCGGTCAAAACTTTCCAGCGGATCAAGACTTCTAGAGCCCAACGGTGTCTAGTAGCAGGGCTGTAGCGCAACGTCTCCGCACCATAGCGCGTGGAAGGCTCGCTACGGGGTCGCTGCTCGGCGCTACGGAGTTGTCTCCAGCTTCCCCTCGTCGGAACCGTCGAAGTAAGCTTTAGCGGTGACTCGTGCACTGATGCGCTAGCCCTTGACATGTTGCCCTACGATCCGATAGATCGAGGATATACCGTGTCGTGATTGATTGACGTTGAGTGAGAAGTCTTGCCACGGCGTAATATGCAAATTAGTTTGAACACTTGATCAGAGCTCGCTTCGTGAACCTATATGTCGTGAGACCACTCCCCATGTCTCAACGGGCACCTTGGCAGCGTTGATGCGATCTTCTACCTTTGCGATCTTATTTGCCTTTTCGCAAATCGCCATCGCTGGTGTGGCTGCGCAGCCAATGTCTCCGCTTCTCCTTGTTACTCGGGACGAAAGCCACAAACATGTCAACCTGGACGAGCTGCCATCACATCGCGTTGCAGTGATTATCATATGCATTCTGTTTGCATTTGTTCTCGCGTTGGCCCAGGGTAAGTGCATTCGAATTTTATGTTGACCGTTTCGTATCCAGACGTCGCTCAGAGCGTTTGCTGACTGTTTGGTAGGATATCGAGCAGGCCGCATGGCTGGCCAGAAGTCCAAAACTCGGGTGTCGGATGTACTCGTGTTCGCGCAAGGCTTCATCTGCTCGGCCTTTCTATTTGCCACAGCCATACAGATAGCTGGACTGGGTCTGCAAACGGATGCTCAATGTCATGCTGCCATACGAGTCTGCATCGCCATGTACAGTGCGGACAAGATAGCACTGTAAGTGTTTACTCGAGCGTGACGGTCACCCAGAACCCGGATACTGAACAAACGACAGATACCTCTTCTTGCTGGAGCGCGTTCATATCGTACGAGCTCCCTTTGTGGATCGCACAAGGGATATGCTGTATGTCTTTGGAGGGATCTTTGTCACGGGTGGTTTCCTCGCGATCATGGGATGGCAGTTTGTCAACCCAATGGCTGTCTTGAACCACCAGACAGGTGAATGCAGGATAGGCATCGAGCGGCCGGCTACGATCGCGATCATCGTGCTGGACATCCTGATGAACACTGTTCTCACGGGAATCTTCGTCTGGCAGCTTCGACCAGCACTGAGTTCATCGGCACCTAGGATATTCAGTTTCGCAAGCGACACTGCTGGTACATCAAGTGACTCTTCAATGCAGAGACTCCGACTTTGGATGAAAGGAACACGACGGGCCGTATCTTCTCGGAACAACTTGCGAGTCATGCTGGTTCGAAATGTTGTTGGCTCCGGCTTCATGTTGTTTGTCACTTTGTGCAACAACAGCCTGTTCCTCGCCTGGAGTTTTGCGAAGATGAGCCATGCTTGTCTGCTCATGTGCCTTGCTGATAGTAAGTTTACGATCCGCCCATTGTGGTCAACACACGCTAATGCATAGTTCAGTCTGTCTCGGTATGCTTGTCACCCAATGGCTGACGATGCGTTCGGCTGATCCGGAGATATCGCCACCGGCATCTCGAGCTTCTCTCGTAGACGAACGTACCGATTCCGAGGTTTCCTTTGTGAACGAGAAGCCTGTTCCTATCAGCCGTGTGCTAGATAAGGTACGCTTTAATCTCCGTTGAAGGCGGCGATGCTGTCAAGAAGTTGTGTTTTGCGACATGTGTCTTAGTAGTCTCAAGCTACAGAAGGACCGGAAGGATCTATTTGCGGTGTGCTCCATGGAATCATCACCGCCCTTCTTCGGTCTTGTTACATACCGACTTACACAAGATTGGCCACGCTTGCCTTCATCCTATACGGTTTCCTAGCACCTTCCTGCGTAACTAATACGACGCCATCCCGGATCAGCGAGTGCCGAACAAAAAGGAGTGCACTGGGCGACAACGAATTTGGTACGCCACGCTCTGTTTGATGCGACCAAGCGCTGCGCGGTGTTGCATGGCTGCGGTTGTACGGATATACCCCGATCGTCAGCGGACGAGGCTAGGAAGCGCAATGGGAACGTTCATGGATCATCTTTGGAGCAGGTCGGTTTGAGATGAGACTGTACTCGGATTCCATTGTGCGAGCCCATGACGTCAGCCAGATAAATCAGGATCTTACCGGACGAAGACTAGCGTTAAGCTACCGCAAACCTTGGAAAGAATTGCCCAGGTATGCACAACATCCGCACATGCATTGCGAGTACAGTTCTTCATACCATGGTACATAGTTCGGCAGAAGCTCATCTTGAACTGTGTCAGGAGTCATAATGTTGACGACCGAGTTTCAGTGAGTTCAGCTAAATCACCTTGTTCGTATGGGCAATATGACAACTGAAGGTATCAAATTCCACTACGCCATCCCACTCTTTCCATTCTGATCTCGTTATCGTCCATATGTCGGACGTCTCATATTACATGAAAGTGCTCACCGCTTAGTTAAGAGGTGGATCGAAGAACCACATCCCCTCACGTTTCACCACTTTCTCATCTCTCTCCACATGCTCGTGATATCTCTTGCATACGTTTCCCCTCAACCCGAGCAAGTATTCTCTTAAATTTGAACTTCCGCCGAATGGCTCAACGATGTCTTCCTTCCCACGACCTTCCATTCTGAAGCCCTTCGCAAGGTTGACCTGCCACTCGGCCATGTCCTCCGTCTGACCGCAGTTCAGCATGATGTCTTGCATCATGGTCCTCAAAGCAGAGTCCCTCAGATGCTCCTCGATATAGTTCATGATGTCGTAGGGCAGTGGCTGTGCGTCGCGCAAAAGCTTGTTGAAGAACACATCCACAATCTTGTTGCGCAGGAGCGGGATATCGAAGGTGTCGGCAGATACGTGGAGTTCGCATAAGAAGAGGTATCTCACATTATTGTCATTGCTGGAGTCTAGGCTGCCGCTGTAAAGCCAGTTGGCGAAGGCGTCGAATCGCTTTGGCATAGAGCACGCGAGGTGGATCGGTGTGCGCTCCTCGTCGGAGGAGGCGGGAAGGACCTCGTGGAAGTGTTGCGAGCGCGCTCTGAGTGCTTCGACATGTAGGTCATACTGCTGGATATTGCTGCCAGCGCCAACCTTGATCGTGACTGTGTCGTGCTTGTTGGTGATGGTAGGCGCGGTCCATGGGCGTACGCACCGTGCTAGTGGGTGGCTCATCGTAACAGTGTTGGAGTTGCTTTCGTTGGCGGAAAGGTAGATTTTGTTGCATAAGTTCTCACCTGTTGTAAAAACCGTTTGCGTATCTCTTGGTAGGCAGCGCACTCCACTAGCCGAGAAACCGAAGTGAAGGTGAAGGTGAAGATGCGTTTGTGGTATCCTAGCCATCCTGAGAAGTATGCATGCACATCTCCCCTATGAGCAGCTGCAAAAATTGTCAGTCGTCACATGAGGGTATAAAAGCAATACAATTAGTATATATACTGTGTTTTGAATATTCACGAGGATCTGGTTACCCCATAGCAGGATCATGGAGCACAGCAACGAAAGGGCGGCATGCGTGTGGTCAAAATGGATCAGATAATCTCAGACGTACTGTGTTCATGCACTAGGAAGGTAGCTCTATCATGATAGTGAACAACGATCAATACTTCAACAGTCTTAGAACAGCCAACGGATGCACTTGTATCGTTGACCGAAAGTCTTTCGCATAGTTTGAAAGGTAACATGACGACCTTGCCATATCGTCTCCTAAGTGCACCTGCGCCTCGGATTAGCGACTGCCGCTGAATTGCCACATCCGACAGGTAGACTTCCGAATGGACATCTCCTTATGTGGCTTCCCTCTCTGTGTGTACATGATATCTTTCGCAAAAGCTCTTCCGCGTGTTGGAGAGCCAAGTGTCTGCATTGATCCTTGAGCCGTCACCCGGAACCAAGCCTCCTTCCCGACATTCCACAATGATGTCCATCAGGAACTATTTGTGGCAATTGAAGAGACGAGCCTTGTCACATTTTCTGAAGCCGCCGGTTGTTATCAGTATATCGACAATCAGCTTTCTCATGCCGTCTCCTTCAGATGTGTTGGTGTACAGAAATTCTGTAACACCTACTCTGACCTGCCTCTCTGCTACCCAGAAACGGTACAGAGAGTCCAGAACAGCATTCTTGAAGATAGACGCCTGATGAAAGTCGGCGAACACGTACACAGTCATCGCTTTTGTCCAGTGGAACTGAGCCGCATTGTCCATGCAGTCTACAACACCGGAGTTGAGCCAATAGTAGAAGACGTTGAAGGTTTCAGCGTCGATGTCTTTCAGACGTAGATAGGTTGAGCCGCATTCCTTGAACGAGCCGTTCAGCATGCGATCAAAGTAGCTCGAGAAGTGACAAAGCAGCCCGCGATAGATCTTGAACTTTTTCTTGGCGTTGTCGGGTCCGACCGCGATGGTGATGATTGTGTCGTATACATGGCTGAGACTTTCAGTAAAAATTCTGGGCTGGGCCTATGTTGGACTTACGCTGGTGGTTTAGCGGGTGGGTAAGCACAGGGAATCGGCCCGGGGATTTCTGCGGCGTCGCTAGTGGACGTCACTGCAGTCGCCATCGCGTGAGATGGGATCGCAGAAAAGGAATGTTGTCGAAGGTCTAGTGACGCGGTTGAAAATGGAGAGGGAATTCGAAGGTACTCGTGCAAAGACTAATTGTCTTGGCGGGCGCTCGGTGAGAGTGGAAGTGAAAGTGAAAGTAAGAGTAAAAACACCAACCGACAACTCGAATCTGATAACATACGGCACCCTTGATAGATGTCAGAAGACTTCCTATGTATTTCCCGCGATTTGATTGACAATGCGACGGGGTATGGTAGCATTGGCAGAGCTCGTACATTCTCTCTGAGCAAGCCAGGCTACTACCTCGAAGTAACGTGCTATATGCTGTTGTTGGCAGCACGTAACCACGAACTGCACATAAAAGCAGAGACCACAGCGAGACTAAACACAGGGCGATCATGATAACATACAATTGAGCATAGATAGGTTTTTGAATCCGAATCGACTTTGCATTACAAGAACGAGTTGGCCAGGTTCTCGAAGTATTTCCTAGCGCCGTCTAGGTCGACGTTCACGGTAGCCTTTGATCTTTCTCTCTCAGTGAGGGTCTTTCCCAAGGAGGCTTGCAGGGCTTCGATAGTGGACTTCTCATTTGGCTGGTTCACGATCTGAAGATTCATGCTACCACTCTCAACCTCTTTGCCGCCAACCACAATGATGTGATTGTACTTCTTCGTCCTTGCTTCAGCAATCTTCTTCCCTAGCGAACGGTCGCTCGTATCGACATCGATGGGCAGGTGTATAGTCGATAATGGGAGGGGCTTGGGTGAGGACGCGGACGTGGCTGGTACGTCGGAGGGTGTGAGACCGGAAAGGACAGACTGAATGCGCGAGACATGTTCGAGGACTTTTGGGTCTGAGTTTAGCGATAATACGATGGCTGGCCGAGGCGAAAGCCAGAACGGATATTTGCCGGCATAGTGTTCGATCAGTAGAGCCATGAAGCGCTCGATGGAACCGTAGATGGCGCGATGAACAATGACTGGGCGGCGAAGAGCCGGATCCAAACCTGCATCCATAGACGACTGCGGCCCTGCCTCCAACTCTTCTGGCGAAGCTTGGTATTGCAGGTCGAAGCGCTGCGGCAGCTGGAAGTCAAGCTGTATGGTTGCAGTCTGATGCTCCTTACCGTTCGAGTCTTTCAAGATAATGTCAATCTTCGGACCGTAGAAGGCTCCGTCGCCCTCGTTGATTGCCCATTCACTTCCGATGTTGTTCAACGCGGTAGTCAGTTGCTCCTCCGCTCGATCCCACTCCTCGATGGTGCCTATGAAGCTGTCCTTGGGACGAGTAGAGAGAAGCAGCTTGTAGGGTCCCAGTCCAAACGTGTTGTATACCATGCCCACGAACTTGAGCGTCTGCTCAATCTCTGCCAGAATCTGGTCTGGCCGACAGAAGATGTGCGCGTCATCCTGGTGGAACCGCCTGACTCTGGTCAGACCTGTCAACGCGCCTGAGATCTCGTTCCGATGCAGAGCGCTGAAGTCGGCGAGCCTGACTGGGAGATCTCTGTAACTCTTGATCTCGTCCCTGAACAGCAAACAGTGGCCGGGGCAGTTCATAGGCTTCAGACCGAACTCGCCGTCTTCCCCGCCTTCTGCTTCAGGTATCTGCGCCGTTGTCCCTCGTCCCTGCACACTGAACATGTCCTCGGCATAGTTCTCCCAGTGCCCAGACTTCTCCCATAGCGACTTCTTATATATTATGGGCGTGATGACCTCTTGAAAGCCGAATTGCGGATATTGCGCACGCAGGAACGACTGCAACTTCTGGAAGACGTAGGCACCGTTGGGAAGGATGAGCGGCGAGCCGGGGCTATACGGAGATGTGATGAAGAGGTTGTGTGTTTGCGCGAGGGCTCGATGGTCTAGAGGAGGTGTAGGCGGGGTGCCGGCGGTAGGGTTCAGTTGCGCATTGGCGGGTGCTTCAGACGAGACGGTCACCGTGTGCTGCAACTGGTGGGGCGCGGAGCAAGAGCAGCTGCGCGTGAAGAGACGCCCATGTTGGCGCCACCTCGTTGGTTCTAATTGCGCCCGTCTTGCAGTCCGTAGCGCGAGGGAAAGCTGGCGTAGTGGCATCGGAAAGTCTTGACTGCTGCACCAACTTCGCGTGCTGTTCAGGATGCACTTTCTGGACTAGTCGTCTTGGCGCACGCGAGCTCGAACATGACGTCGACGCGTCTGTACGCCAACACCACTTAAACCCCAAACGCGGTCAGGTACTACAGGTTCGGTGCTAGGGCCATCGCTCTGGAATTCCACTAACAACAAAAGTGCTTGATGTCTCTGCGACGCACTAAGACACTGTATGCGCCAGAAGCCTGATTGGCAGGCCCCACGTCACACGTAGGAAGTGGCAACCTGTTCTACCCAGCCTCCTACAACGACACAAAGGCAGTCAGTGAGACAGTTTGGGTCATCACTAGACATACCACTGCCTAAATCTATAACTACCACCTGCTCTCTATTGTATTCTTACCTTGACCCACTCATCCGTCAGCCCTACGTCACAGATTCTAGATACCATCAACTTAGAATATGAGCGCACGTTCGCGGCGACTCGAACACAGCTTGGGAAGTAGCTGGGGCGACGCTGATTACGCATCCGGTGACGAAGGCTCCATCCACTCGGCCAGCGACGAAGCCAGCGAATTGGAACTAGAGGACTCTGACAAAGAAACTGTACAAGAACCACGGACGACAGTGACACCCAGACCTAAGCGCAATCACCTCAGCAAGTCAACACCTACGGCGCAAACGCAGGCTCGACCCGTGAGGAAGCCAGCAAGTCGGACCAAAGCCAGCCAGTCGCAAAGGATAGGACCCGACAGAACACCGAATCAAGACGCATCCGAGCCGAGCTTCATCATGCCTTCCATGAATAACTCGCCAAGTGGTTACAGCGGCTCGCCAGGTCCAAAATCTCAGCCGCGGAACCGAACAAGAAACACGACCCAGAACCGCCCATCAGACTCGCCCCTTGCACCAGGCAGCTCTTTCACGAAGGGGTCTGCCAGCGGATACCCGCAAGCGCCACAACAAAACCAGGAAGAAGTGAGCCCATGGCACTACGTGAACCTCTTTTGGAACAACGTCGCCGTACCACTCCTGGCTCACTTCCTAGACATCTTCTCCTACGCGATGCGACACTTTATCAAGCCGTTCTTAGGGGTCGCCCTTGGTGTTGGTATCCTAGTCTTCGGCATTCAGCTAGCATCCGGAATACTACGATCCACGGTATCAAACGCTGTCATGGGGCCTGTTTGCGCGATACCAGGCTCTTCTTACCTCATCCCCGCATGCGGTACGCTAGACACGTCAGAGCCTCAGGCCGACTTCGAGGAACTCATCAATGTTCAAAGTCGATTTGAGGATATCTTGGACGCATCAAAGGATACCTCTGCCCTGCCGGCCACGATCAAGAACTCTGAGCTGGCCATTCGTGACCTGCGAATTCTTGTCAAGCACTCTCGTCTCCCGAGCCGAAAGGCACTGGACAACGAATTCGAGTACTTTGTACAGACAGCCAACGAAGCTTCCGTCGATCTCTCCCGTTACAACAGTCGTATAGGGGCAGCCATGGACCGTGTGATTGCGACGAACACCTGGACCATGAACGTGTTGTCTGGTATATCAGAAAAGGAAGCTTCTATTGGCGCCGTTGGCCGAGTTATCAACCAGATTACGGGTGCATTCGTCGCGCCCCCACCAACGCTCCAACAACGCATCTTCGACCAATACGTTGCTCATGTCAGCAAAAACAAAGATGAGATTACGCGTCTTATCGAAACAGCTCAAGCTCTCCTTCTTGTTTTGCAAAACCTCGATGAGCGATTAGGTACCATCTACGAAATTGCAACAGGCGATGACCAGACAATAACGGGCAGACAAGAAGAGCTTTTGTCTAGCCTCTGGACAAAGCTCGGCGGTAATCGCGGGGATGTAAAGGCCAACACCAAGTCCCTCAATTTACTTGCCAATATTGGTGCCTATCGCAAGAGAGCGGTCAATCATGTGTCCGGCACCCTTCTCAAGCTACAAGAGATCCAGGCCGAGTTAGAGAACTTGAGAGAGGGCGTTGCAGCGCCAGAAATATTGGGTTACAGAAGTGATCTACCTTTAGAGTATCACATTGATACTATTGGGAAGGGCGTGGAAAGGCTGCAGGTCAGCCGTGGAGAGCACATGAGGGTTGAGGGGGATACGTATAAGAGACTCATGCGTGGTGGCGATGAGGCCGAGGGTAGGAGGGAATTGCCTGGACCGACAGTCACCGTGAGGGCGAAGTAGTAGATCGTCTCGACATTGGAAACTTTGGATAAACTTTGGATTAGTACTTGGATATTCTTTGACGGCGTTCACGAGATTGTCTTTACTTTCTGACTTTATCTTTCTACTTGGTACATCCCTAGATACCCATCTCATCCATAACTCATGACCGCAATGAACCATTCTTTTTACAAAGTTCAATACATCTGTACCTCAACCAGACATCTCCTCACACCTCCATCGCTTCCATCTCCTAAGCCCTCAAACTCCATCTCATACGCTACACATCCTCTCTGCGCACAAGCTTCTCTGAAACCATCCACGCTACCTCCAACCCCAAAGTACACTCTCTTCGCCGCTACCATCGTCTTGCCCGTCTTCACCCGTCCCATAAGCGCGACGATCGCATCCGTAAACGCCGTAAGCGAAGCCGGCGAATAGATGGTCTCCGAACCCAAGATAAACGTGTTCAAATCCGGAGATGAAGGAACCATATCCAGAAGCTTCTCGACTGGCGTCCAAGATCCAGAAATGAATGTCATCGTGATACCAATCTCACTCATTGCCTTCTTGAAAGCACCCAGGATCTCAGGAGTAAGATACAACTCGCCATTCTCCTCCGGTCCCAATAGCGGATTCCCCGTCTCAGGGAACAACGCTGCACTCTCCTCAGCACCTAGCGTACCTACCCATGTCAGAAGTAGGTTAGGTAGAGTGACGAGCCTTAGAACGTCGGCGTTGTAATCTGTCAAGGTGAAATAGATACCAAGTTGGTTCTTGACCGCATATTGGAGTAAGAGAAGCGAAGGCAGCGCAGACCCGCAACCCATCTCGATGACGTGACCGACGCGCATGAGGTCATCGAGATCTTTCCGCGGTCCACGATCGAGTAGGTAGCGGACGAGATCGAGACTGCATTCCCAGGTCTTGTAGCCGCCTTCGTAGACGTTTTGGCGGAGGTCGGAGTCCTTGAGATAAGTCAGTTCGTGGATGCTCAGTAAGATAGAGTGAGGGAGTAGGGAGTTACATCGAGGCCTGTCAAAGGTGTTTGGGATGATCCATCATCTTCGGCCATGAGTTGAAGGCGTACATCGAAGAGCTCGCGGCGGGGTAGCCGGGTTGTGAAGCCTTTGGGGCTTGTTATGTTGATGGTTGAGTAGGAGAGTTTGTCTGGGAGGCTGGCTAGCTGAAATGATTGTCAGTATCGCTCATAGGATTATCTTCATCATCTGCATGAGAGAGAAATCGTCAGAGAGGGTGGAGAGTTGAGAAGTTGTCCCGAATCTACACAAAATTACAAAGCGCGTACCTACCAGCTCATCGAGATCATGTGTTTTGGCCGCTATAGGTGGTGGGACATTGCTATCTGCCGTTGTTTGCTGCTGCCCTTGCTCTTGCACATCGTTGGGGTCTTCTTCTATGTCGTCGCCTGAAAAGCCGAAACTGAATGCCATGATGAGATACTGAACTGGGGTTGGATCAGGTTAGACTGATATGCAAGATGTTAGTTTGGCGGTTGGTGGGGTTTCTTTCATGTGAAAGATAATTTTGGGTCTTATCGATAAGCGCATGGTGTGTGCACGGGTGAATGTCGACTACATGGATGCGCTCTGATCTTAGTTTGTCGCAAGTCTTAGGTGGATTAATCATCACTTTGATTTGAGGATAGCGAAGAAATGCACTTTACTTCTGACCGGAGTTATGATACCTCTTTCTCAAAACCCCCCCACGCGACTCATGCGGAAAGTCAAAGGGTGTCTTGCTGCTTACTAGCAATATGACGCGTGTACGCCTTGTACGCATGTTCCAGTATCCCAGCCCATTCTCATTTCGTGTATATTGTGTTGAAGGCGTGCGTTCTTACTCCTTCTTCACCTCAACACCATTACTGTTCTCTTCTTTCTCCGCCTGTCGCTCCTCGGCCAGCGTTCGCTCCATCTGCCTAGCGCACGCCTCCATCGTGTCCTTGTCCAACTCCCATCCCGTTGTGTCGATCCCCTTCGCCTTGGCGTCGGCGATGATCTGCTGTCGCTCCACAATCTTCTCACGCATGAGCTTGATGGCACCCCCGAGCACAACTGCCTCGCTCCGGCCTTGTCCCTCCAAGCCAGGTACTATTGAGGCAAGTCGGTCGAAGCCTTCTCTAATCGCTTCACGTCGCTTCTGCTCGGAACGGATGTGGTTCTCCTTCTTTTGGGCTTCGGTAAGGCGGGGCCGGTCGGCGGCGTTTGTGGGGCTTTGCGACTCCGGCATGATGGCGTGGAGGTGGTTGTGCGAAGGTATCGTCTGACGCGAATGGCAAGTGTATTCGGGTAGGTAGAGTATATTTGAGCTGCGCGAACCGGTTCGCTGGATGTGGCTACTTGGGATATTCTACTGCGTTATGTCGTATGTTCGGTCGAGGAGACCAAGGTGACGTTCCGAGGCACAGGCTGTGGTACGCGACTGCTATAGTGTTGTAGGGGACAGCAGGCGCTCACCTGGGCATAGTTCCTGCCCTTCATGTGAATGGGCCGACGGGTGCCGAGCTTGGAGGCAGGCACCACTCGACGCGGGCTATACCAGCAAGCCGGTGCTACAGTGTGCGACGGGCATCCGTGTGTATGGTAGGAGGTGCGATGGTAGAGGCGCGCTATCGATACGCGTGGGTGAAGCGGGAGCTCTCCATAGCTAGCACGTGCTCGGTACTATGGCGACAGGATGCGCATTGTGCAGATGACGGTATCTCTACTAGTAAAACGGCTGTTTGTTTAGCAGCGACGCTGACATGGCGCTATCAAGCAAGAAACGTGCGGCTAATTAAAACGTTGTTTCAAGGTGGCCGGACCCGTCAGCGCGATATGAGGCTCCTGGCTCCCTGCACCCAACAGCGTGTGACGCACTCCGGTGGATCTTCCGCGCCACCAGGAACCACGTCGGCCACGACGCGACGCCCAGAGATACCGCCGACAGTATCGACCCTCGGTGGAGAGTGAATACGCCGGCTCAGGGCCAGTGACAAAGTCGCCACGTTGTAGGAGAAATTGCAAGAGAAGGCACGACCCCGCTAGGACATCCCACTGGGCAGCTGCAGCCCGGGAGCACGCACTACACCATCACCGCCGTGACATGCGCCCAACCGTGGCCGCACTCCTCCACCCACGCCATTGAATCCTCCCACGCACTCCACCATGGACGGCACCCGGGGGAGCAATCGCCGCATCAACAGCCTCCAGGCCCAGGACCGCCTGCGACGACGCAGTTCAGCCAACGCCCAGGGGAAGCGCCCCGTCACGGCCCAAGATGCCTATCTCTATGCCCTCCGCGCGGCATACCTCGCGTACCTCCTCCAGCCCCGCCAGAAGCGGGTGCAACATGTGCCCGCCGCGCCCAAACACGTCCAGCGATCGTCGACGTCGATAAACGACCTCATGAAGGACTTCTCCCTCATACGAGACTCCAAGAGCACGCGCTTCCCCCGCGATTTCATGGCTGCACTGGACAAACGGATCACAAAGGTGTTGATGGGGCAGGAGCGCATGCCTGAGTTCCAGGATGCCACGGTCAAGCGAACCTTCGCCGTCTTCTTGAACGCATTCAAGGACCCGTCGTTTAGGAAGAACATGGACAAAGATAGGAGAGTCGAGGACCTTCTCCTGATTTTCTACTCCAACGCCACAAAGGAACTGCAAAAGGGGAAGGCGCCCGGAGATGACAGCTGGAAGCTCATGGTAGACCGGCACGTCGCTCTCTTCCTACGTCTTGTCAGTTCTTGCCTCAAAGACCATGACTGGCAAAAGGACAGACCCGAACTTGCGCATCGGTTGGCCACGATGGAGAAGAAGTTACTCGTACACGATCAAGATTTGGCGGCGGAGAACCAGCGCAATGGCGGTCAGGGTGGCACAACAGTCGAAGTCGAGGTTCCGCGAAGTTATGAAGTCAAGGACATGCCCCTCGTCTTGGTAGTGTCACGCATCTTCGCTGTAGGGTACTCCGATGTACAAGCCGACATCAACCGATACAAGTCCGTATGGACGGAGAAGGCTGCGCTGCAGGATCTAAAGACATACCAGGCGCACCTCAGTCTCATGACCAAGAAGACGCTGAACAGTGACGACTTCGATACCGAGGAGGCGTACGAGGCATGGAAGAACCAAGAGGTGCCAGACCTCTCGCAGATGATACTGGCAATCATACAGTCGAACCCCGAGCTCGCAAAGAGTTCACCCGGATCTGTGCCACACTTCAAGCCCAATGCTTCTTTGGACCCCGGCTACTCAGACGGTTCGAGGCAGGGTTCTATGTCGTCTGAGAACGGCTCCTCATATGTCATTGACCAGTCTGTGGATATGAATGGGCTCAGCCTCAACGACGATCCAAATGATAGCTCATCCTATACCTTCATACCTTCAGATCCACGTGCCACTTATCGTGCGATACTGAATGAAGCACTGACGTATGATCTGGCGGACAACGATCTCGAACCATCCGAAGCTACCAACGAGAACCCGTCTGTGAAGCTACTGTCAAAACAATCGGCTGAGCTTTTGAATGAGATAGCCCTCCGATGGAGGATACCACAATTTTCCCGTCTTGTCTTGTTCCTAGACGTCATCCGCGACAAGTACATTAACCAAGACATCAGTCTGGATACCCTGGATGCTGCCTTCAACTATGTCAAGGAACCACCGCCAGCTGACAAGAAGTCCAATCGAATGAGCCATATTCCAGTACAAGTATCGTTGTTTGACCGAACGAAATGGACAATCCAGGACTACACTCTCAACCAACAGATTCTGTCAACGTTGCACGACTGCCTGTTAAGAGAGTTGTACGAGCTGATGATGCATGTATACGACACCAAACCGCCTGCACTCGGACCGGTAATGTACATCCTTGAGACCCACATCTACGACGACCCTACTTTCCCCGGAACCGAAGAAGATATGGATCAGTTCACTGAACAATTACGTCACGGACTGAGGGACAAGGCTGGTGACGTGTATCGAGAGCTTCTAGCGAAGCACATCCCGGACACCAAAGAAGAGTGGGAGTTCTACCATGTCATTGAGCTGGGTCGTGCTGTGGTCAAGCTATGCGAGCGGATACAGAAGCGCTACCGCAAGAACCCAGAGGTTATGGGTGCTAGTCCCATGAACTGCCTCGTTGAGAAGATGTTTCCCTCTTACGCCGCAGATGCGCGGGACCTTGTCGCTCGGATCATGGACGTTGCTCAAAGCAAAGGAGAGGATGTACCCGTGCAGGATGGCTTCGACTTGTACAAAGAACTTGTTGAGATTCGCCGCATACACAGCGATGCCCTACCGGGCAAAAACTTCGCTTTTAGCATCGAAGATCAGCTACAGGACTTTGTGTGGAGATGGATTCAAATGACGGATCAAAACCTTATTGGGTGGGTTGACAACGCTTTCAAGGCAGACCAATTCCAGATCGAGTCGCAGAACCCCATTCCTTCAGACGAGGAGCGCCACAGTGTCTCGGTCGTGGATGTCTTCCGATCCTTCAATCAGAGTATCGAGCAAATTGTCTCATTGAACTGGGATAATGATGTTCAATACGCCAAATTCATGACTGCTATATCGAAATCGATCGGTGTCGCACTCGCAAGATACTGCGAACTCGTTGAGCAGAAATTCGCCAAGGAAATGGATCGCTTGACGCCCGAGCAGGAGGCTGCCGCTCATCAGACCAAGTCAGAGAAGTGGTTGTCGACGGTCAAGGATTTCTACAGCCAGAAAGAGAAGGTCGAGCCTTTTCAATTTTACCCAGAGGTAAGTATCCTACTCAATGATATGTTCAATGCTTACGAGTATAGTCGCTTGTGAAACTCAACAACATTGAGTATGCGATGCAGCAACTAGATAAGCTCGAGCGCGAGATTGGTGTCGATGCGTGCGCCGAAGTCATCCAAAAGCATTCCCCACCCCCGACGCAACGCCTTCGAAACAACAACTTCGTCTTCACTATCAAGATCATTGAGGCTGAAGACCTCAAAGCTTGCGACATGAATGGACTAAGCGACCCATACGTTGTGCTCGGTGATGAGTACCAGAAGCGGCTGGCAAAGACTCGGGTCATCTACCGCAACCTTAACCCTCGTTGGGACGAGACCATTGACATCACGACTAATGGCCCGCTGAACGTCGTTGCAACGATATGGGACTGGGACGCTATGGGCGACCATGACTGCGTTGGTCGGACATCTCTCAAGCTCGATCCATCACACTTCCGGGACTATATGCCCCGAGAATACTGGCTTGACTTGGATACGCAGGGACGTCTATTGCTGCGTGTGAGCATGGAAGGCGAGCGAGACGACATCCAGTTCTACTTCGGCAAGTCATTCAGAACACTTAAGAGGACTGAGCGTGACATGACACGAAAGATCACGGATAAGGTAAGCATATTGCCATCACAACTCAAGATCTGCGCTAACGATGGCAGCTTTCATCATTTATCGGCTACAAGCTTTCGCGTCGCTCACTTGATGCCCTGCTCAATAAAGGCGTAGCATCTAAGGTCACCAACTACTTAGGAAACTTCAGACAAGCCAGACCCATGTCTGTCATCCAAGGCCCTACACAGCAGGACGTCACACAAGCTCTCGGTCCTCTGTTTGTCTACTTTGACGAAAATTTCGCGATCATGAAGCAGACGCTAACAGACGCTGCAATGATCATGGTCATGACAAGACTCTGGAAAGAGGCGCTCGCGACCATAGAGTCGCTACTTGTGCCTCCTCTATCCGACAAACTTTCACAGCAGCGTCCGCTAACGCAACAAGAGCTTGACATTGTGTTCAAGTGGCTGAAGATGCTTTTCGACTTCTTCCACGCTGTGGATGAGGATGGAAATGTTGAGGGTGTACCCATGGACGTACTCAAGTCACCCAAGTATCACGAGCTTCAGAACCTCAACTTCTTCTACTTTGAAGCTACTGAAGATCTGATCCGTACGTCCGAGTCAATGGCTGCAGCTAGTGCACGACGACAGCAAGAACAATCGCAACGCCTAAACCGCATGTCGGCACCGCCTGCTATGGGCCACCAGTTTGGTGGTGCCGCGGGACTTGTCGGGATGCCGACTAGGAAACACAAAACCATTATGCTGTCGCGCAATCTTGGCACAATGAAGAAAGCCAAGGAAGAAAAGAGAAAGGAAGCACAGGCGGAGCCTAATGATGACATGATCTTGAGGATACTGAGAATGAGGCCCGAGGCAGAGCGTTACCTAAAGGACAGAAGCAGACAGAAGGTACCCATCGCCATTCCTTTCCCATATTCACGCTTACTGACGAAAAACAGGAACGCCTTGCTGCTGCGCAGGCGGCTGAAATGATCGTACGACAAAGTCTCAACTCTGGGGGTGGTCGTATGACGGGCGGCATGGGTGGCCCACGCCGATAAGAGAAAGCCACCCGTGGACTCTTTTTGTCACATGTCACATGTCACTGTTTTGGCGTTCGTTTGCTTTCTGATACCTCTG